GTGGGATATATGTTCCTTTAAGCTCAACCACAAGAGAAATAGGCCTCAAGATTTTTGGCGCCTCGGTCTAAATAGCAGAATGAAGAAGTGGTATGGTGGTGTTCTGGTTGCATCCTTGTTCATGTTACTGATCCTTAGATATGGTCTCCTGAAAAGTCCAATCGGAGGGAATATTCTGTTGAATCCCTCCTCCAATGCAAGCAAGCCTCTTGAATGGGTGCATCCTGCTCTTCCACCTGCAGTTCAAAATCCAGAGACTTCTTCTCAAGTTTTTTCTACAGATACTATAGTCTCCAGTCTGTTTGCTCCGAGAAATATTTCCATTGAAGAGCAAAAGTCTCTGCAGACATGGAATCTACTGAAACACTTGATTGATCATGCTCAGGTTTTAGCAAATGGAGTAGAAGCTATTAAGGAAGCTGGAAATGCGTGGAGCAGCCTGATGGCTTCAGCAGAAGAGGAAAGACTTAGTTATACAAATGGAAGTTCAAGTAGGAAAGTGAAAGAGAAACAATGTCCTCACTTTCTTAACAAAATGAATGCCACAGAGCTTGATAATAGTGGTTATAAATTGTGGCTTCCTTGTGGCTTGACTCAGGGTTCGTCCATCACAATTATCAGCATTCCAGATGGTCTTCTTGGTAATTTTCGGATCGATTTAACTGGGGAAGCACTTCCAGGGGAGCCTGATCCACCCATCATTTTACATTACAATGTTAGGCTTCATGGTGATAAGATTACAGAGGATCCTGTAATTGTCCAAAACACCTGGAATGCGGCTCATGACTGGGGTGAAGAGGAGCGTTGTCCTTCTCCATCTCCTGAAAAGAATAAGAAAGGTAGAAACCTCAGCTACTTTTTTTTATATCCAATGCAACACAAGTAAGTTTATGCTTGCAATTTTATTTTGTGTTTGTTCAAGTTTAATAGCTCATCAATAGCAGTTAAGGTCAGCTTCTGTATCCTGATCTGCTAGTTCTTTATTGTCTTCTGTTTTTTCTCCTCTGGTCTTTCTGTAAAATTGTTTTTATATATTGCATCATCCTATTAATAGAAATTAAATTCCGCCCTGAGATTCCTGTAATTTTCCACTTTTAATGTGGAAAGTTAAAGTGGTAACCAATTTGTGCTCAGTTATTGATGAAATGAAGTGGATGTTTACACATTGATCACTTAATCAAATTGGATCTAGATGAAACCTTCCAAGTGATTGAACTAGAAGTTTGTGATGTGGTATCTGGCTGCTGTTGTCTATACCTTTTGTCCAGTCCAAGTCAGTTAAAGTTAGTGACATGGTTGTTAAGTCTTTTATGTCATAACTCTATTAGATTTATATGCCAGTGGACGAGCTGGATCAATGTAATAAGATGGTGGGCAGAAATGATACTCGGGTGAATAGCATGCATTCTGATCATTCAAGAAGGTCGTCACTTCAGGAAGGAACTAAAGCAAGAAGATATTTTCCATTTAAGCAAGGTCAGCTATCTGTTGCAACGCTTAGAGTGGGAATGGAAGGAATCCAGATGACTGTTGATGGAAAGCACATAACATCTTTTGCATATCGTGAAGTAATTTCCTTGCTTGGACTTTTGTGTTACTTTTGGAATTTTGTTTAGCATGCCAGTTTCTTCAGATTCATTCACACGCTGCTTTGTTGTCTGTTCAGACTTTGGAGCCATGGCTAGTTAGTGAAGTTAGGATTTCTGGGGACCTAAATCTAATTTCAGTTGTGGCTAGTGGTCTACCTACATCAGAGGATTCAGAGCATGCAATTGACCTAGAAGTGCTCAAATCAGCTCCTCTCTCTCCAAAAAAAACACTGGATCTCTTTATTGGTGTCTTTTCTACAGCAAACAATTTTAAGCGGAGGATGGCTGTTCGAAGAACATGGATGCAGTATGCTGCAGTGCGATCAGGGGCAGTTGCAGTGCGCTTTTTTGTTGGTCTGGTGAGATTTATATAAAATCCTTCATTTCATGCATCAACTTTTACGGGAGTATTTCATATTGATAAAAAAATTGGAGAAAAGAAAAAAAATTCCAGATTAAGGATTGTGCACCTCTTTGAAAGCAGAATTTGTTGACCCTTGCCATGAAAGGAGCATTCCTTTTATAGCAGGACTGGAGTTTCTATGTGAGCCATTTTGGGATGGTGGTCTCAGTAGTGATAACATCGATTTGTATTACAGCCTTTAATAACTGGTTTTGTGTATGTCTTGTTCTGGTGGAACAAACCAAAAGTTTAAGGTGTAAGGTTATAATTATGTAAATCTGTTTGCTGGGCCACTTACAAATTTGAGGTGTGTGCTGCAGCATAAAAATCAAATAGTGAATGAGGAACTCTGGAATGAAGCACGGACATATGGAGACATACAGCTGATGCCTTTTGTTGACTACTACAACCTCATCACATTTAAAACTTTAGCTATCTGCATATTTGGGGTACAGATCTGTCTCATCTCTAGATATACATGGATGGCTGGACCTTTGCCACATTTAACTCATCTGTTTAACAGACGGAGGTTGCATCAGCTAAGTATGTCATGAAGACAGATGATGATGCATTTGTTCGTGTGGATGAAGTGTTAGCTTCTTTAAAGAGGATCAAAGTGAGTCATGGGTTACTCTATGGATTAATCAATTCAGACTCTCGGCCTCATAGGAGTACTGAAAGCAAGTGGTATATTAGCCCTGAGGTAATTCTCCACTCACAAATGATCACTAGTTTCTTTCAAATGTTTTTTTGTCCTTTAACTTTGCCGATTTGGAATAATTTGAGAGATCATGCTTATTCTATGTTATAACAAAAAATATTCAACTTCTCCTAATGTCGCACAGTTGTCATGCTAGTTCGACATTTGGATGTTCAACCAGAACTTGTGATTTGCTATAAACGCAATTGTTTGCAGATTCACCCAAACAAACATCACAAATGAATACCCATCATATACAAAATATCTGGTGAATACTCTTATCACTAGGATTCCAAGCAGGACCCTAGAATTTTAGGTTGGTTTAGCTCAGATGAAGGTTTGGTTACCTGGTATAGATGTATGTGAAGTCGACCTTCTTAATGAAGCTTTATGATCTAACTGTAAAGCAAGTGCTTTTGATCTTGTTCTATTTCCTTATCCTCGTTTTTTTTGTTTATGTTATAAAAGGAATGGTCTGAAGAGACCTATCCCCCCTGGGCACATGGTCCTGGTTACGTTGTGTCCCGTGACATTGCCAAGGCAGTTTACAAGAGATACAAAGAAGGCCGTTTAAAGGTATAAGAACGAATTGCAGTCTGGTACTTTGTTAGAAAATGAAAAACAACTCTATTGTTCCAAACCAGCCACAGTCAATTCTATATATCTCAAAATGAAAACTGTTTATGGTTGATGTGACAGATGTTTAAGCTAGAGGATGTAGCAATGGGCATCTGGATAGCTGAAATGAAAAAGGAGGGTTTAGAAGTCAAATATGAGATGGAAGGGAGGGTCCATAATGAAGGGTGCAGGGATGGCTATGTTGTTGCCCACTACCAAGCTCCTAGGGAAATGCTTTGCCTGTGGCAGAAACTTCAAGAAGGGAATGGTGCTAGATGCTGTGGTGATCGATAAGCTTGATTGATCGCCTTCTGTTATTAGGGCTCCACAAAATCACATGCATTAATAGAATAATCTCCTTAACCAATTTGTGATTGAAAATTTTGCTTACCAGATTGAGCAAATAGAGTCTGCTTAGAACTAGGGGAGGGGGCATTTGGCTCAAGGCCTTCCACTAAAGTAGTTGCCTTAGTATAATTATTATTATATATTGTACTTTAGATTGTTACATCAAGTCACGTACGATGCACGTAGGAGAGATTGGTGCCCTTGTATAGAAGATTTCTGTCTTGTAACCGGTTTATAGAAATTCTTTTTGTCGCAATATAGTCATTTTGCCCTTAGCAATTCTTGTGTATGTGTTATAAAAAATTCACTGCCTTTACCTTGTTTTTTTTTTTTTTTTTTTTTTTTGAGGTTGAACACTGCCTTTCACTCTTTGAACAATACTCGGAAGTACCTAGCTTATGTGATTATATTGATATTAATATTTATATTAAAATTGATATAATTTAGATGATTTAGGTAAATAGTAATAATGTTTAAAACTAGAAATAAAAACCCAATCAATCTTATTATATGATTATTAATTGATATATTAACAAGAACTAAAAAAAATTGAATAGTCATCATTGTTTATATAAATAGGGAATCACCTATTATTATTAACATGTTATTTGTTTTTTAAGCTTTTTTTTTTTAAAAAAAACTGCCTTCCAAATTTTTTTTATTGATTTTGAATTAGTTGTTATAATTTTTTATTTTTTTAATGAGATTATTGTAGTTTTAAATAATATCTCATTATAATTTATTTTATTTTGTTTTTTATGAGATTATTTCAATTTGAAATAAATATCTTGTTATAATTTATTTTATCTTTTTTTAATGATATTATTGTAGTTTTAAATAAATATTTTAATATTTGGTTGATTGTTAATTTATAAAAATATTTATTTTTATTATTATATCATTAAATAAAAAATATTTTTTTTTTTTTAAGTTCAATGGAGTTTATAATTGTTTTTGAACTTATTAAATTAATTGAGTCTAATTGAGTTAACTCTTGCACACTCTTGCACAGTATAATTTAAAACCAAATTAGAAAAAAAGTTAAATAAAGAGTTTTTAAAATTAATATACTATGTTGAGTTTAATAATAATATCTAAAAAATTCCTGAAAAACTTGATTTTTTTTTCCGAGATCAATCAAAATTACTCGAGCTAATAGTATGGACAAGAAAACTAGTATAATCTAATTTAAGTGGATGTTGGACGGATTAGTGGGTAAGAAAATTATTTTCTATTGAACCCGTGCCTGCCAGTTTGTGAATCGAATATATAATTCTAAACGCATTTTGGAAAAAAAAATAAAATAAAATCTTATGATCATTAAAAAAAAATTCCTCTGCAGTAGGAACTAGCAAATACAATAATTTCTAACTCCACAATTGAATAAAAAGTTTTAACAAAAGCTGATCTAACGATACTGAAATGGCAGAACTGGAAGCCTTGAAGAAGAAGTCACCCTAAAATTAATAATGCTAGCAAAAACACACTGATAATCAATTAGACATGCATCCAATGCCATGTCGACTAGTAGGGAACACTAAGAACAGGCTACTGCAAATTACACCAACCATGAGAGGAAAACTCTCCATCACTTCACCCATCTCCTTAACATGCCCAGGAAACAAGCATTCGGTCACTCTATGATCTGACAACGCAATTGCCATGAATACCATCACCGACATCATTGCATGAACGAGATCGGTAAACCCAACTCTGTACCTCTCATCTTTAGGCACGTCAACTGTAAGACCAGGCTTAAAAACAGCCAACCCTTTAGTTGTCACAAAACCATAGTAAATTTTGTCATCTGGGCCCTTGAAACTGTCGGTGAAATGAAAGAAGAAGCAGGAAAGCGTGCAAAGACCAAGAAGGACATGGATCATTAGGGAAGCAACAGGTGTGCACACTCCATTCTTGGATATTGATGGAAGAAGCATTTCAAATGTCAAAAGGGTGCCTGTTGGAAGGAAGTTAACAAGCATGGATGTCTTGGAGATTGTTTTTTGCACTCCTTTAGCCACGGCTCTCCGTTTGCTGCCTGGTTCTTTAGGGGCTTTGGTGAGGGTGCATAATGGCTTTGATGGTTTTGTTTCATCATCTTGATGGGATCCGGTGGAGATTTTGTTTAATTTAGGTTCATTTTGCGGGGATGCAGTGTAGATTCTGATTCCAATTTCTTCTCCAGGAGTTTGCTCCATTTTCGCTGGATGACAAACAGTGTTATCTGGAGCAAGAGAGGGGAATAAAGAGAGAGTTCTTGCTGAGAGATCGACAAAAAATGAATGGGTTTGGGCTTTTATAGGAGTTTGACAGTAACTGTATGAAGATTTCAATTTCTAACAGTCAAACGGTTAGCGACGGCCTCTCCAGTCCGAATGGCTGCCATTCACTTTCACACCGTTCCCAGAAATTAATACACTTGATGTAAAAAAAAAAAAAAAACCTAACTTAAATACGTTAGAGACCAGATTGAATTGGAGTGAAGGAAGAGAGAGCTCTTTTAATCAGTTGGCTTATCATTTGGATTCTAAGAAACAGCTACAATTCAAAGGAAAAGAAGAAGAAGAAGAAGAAGAAGAAGAACTCTCTGTTAAGAGAAATTGCCATCTCAAAAGCTTGCATAATTCTCTCCCCGCGAGCAAAACCATTGCGATCATAAGATGATATATTTCATTGATCTTAAGATCCATACAGGTCTCAGTGAGCTCTTCGCTCAGACATTCAGCAGCAATTCCTGCAAAAACAATGATCAGAAGCAATGTAACAGTCTTTTCTTTCTGCCCAGAGATTCTCTAATCATGAGAGAGCACTTACGGTGGCGCTGCAAGGGGAATCGCTTGCGTCAAGGTTTTTGCAAAGTGCTTCCATAAAGCAAGCACTTACTGTTTTGGTCATCTACTGGCATAGCATACAACTGTTTGGTTGAACAGAAAGCTGGGAGCCTTGATTTTGTTCGCATGCCGTTGAGCCGGTGAAAAGATCGAAAATCAAGATAGTAATCGATAAGCAAACATTTACAATCAAGAAAAACCAGTTCAAGAACTATCCATGTTCTAGAGGAAAGCCAACAATAATTAACACATACTACACAGAAATTAATAGAACATATCAGATATTCATAATTAATTCTGTTCACATGAGGGAAAACCGTTCACAATCCATCTACGACGTTCTTCCTCCTGCTCACGGAGCAGGATAGCTTAATTAAACAGTTCAGTTTTTATACATAGCACATGATAGTAATTTTAATCAGTAAAATAGAACTTGCAATCGCAGTTGATGTGAGTATTGCTATGAGAGTTAATCAAGCAAGACACAAGTACCCTCCTCGTCTACCTGGACCTCGGTGTTGGATTCCTTCATACTTCTATTAGATATTGGGAATTAAAAAAAAAAACATAAAATCTCTTGATTCAATAAATTTAAAGCAGAGTAATACTTCTTTTAAAAGTAATAAAATATATCTGGATTACTCCATGAAAATCATCTAATCTGAGACAGGTATTCTCGAAGGTTCCAAATTGACAAGAACCTACCTCCCTTCGGCCCACAGGGTTCTCTTGGTTGATTACAACTTCCTCCGCCTTTCTTTCTTTCAACAAGCAACTCAATAAAAACTCGGCTTCTCAAAGCAAAAACTTACCAGGGGGTGTTAAATAAAATATTAGGGCTCTCTAGAATTCGCATTATCCAAACGCAACCCAACCCGTTAAAATAAATTAAAAAAATTAATATAAATATCCCAGATCTCAAGTACACATCAGGATAATATATATATTTGGTAAAGTAATTTATTTATTTATCTATCTTTGTAAATGTTTTTTTAGAATAGTCAAAAAATAAATGATTTTATATGCCCAACTCATAAATATATGTAATATTTATAAAAAAAATTAGTTTAATATTAGATATTCAATCTTTTTGAATCTAGATTTTTTTTGAATAGATCGGGTTAAAAGTTTATAAAATATTAAAAGTTAATTTGATTATAATTATTTAATAAAATGATTATATCCGTTAACAACCCTGTGTGTGCAAACCATGGTAGTTTTGCGTGTAAAGTTTACGAAGCTTTTCCTTGATTGAAATGGGTAAAAGATAAAATAAACAGTAGAAATATTAATAAAAATGGATACTTTTATAAAATATTTTTTATTTAAAAATATATTAAAATATTTTTTTAATATTATTATATCAAAACAATTAAAGAAATAAACAAATTAATTAAAAAAACATTTTCTTTTAAAAAATACCGCATTCCCGGATATCCCTGAAATGACAAAAAAGCAGCGAAAGAATGATTGATACTTGGGCCCCGTTTGTTTGCAGGAAAGTTGTTTCCTTTTGGAAAGTGAATTTCGAGGAAAGTGAATTCCGAGAAAGTGAATTCCGGGGAAAATAAATTCCTGAAAAGTAAAGTATTTTCCGATGTTTGGTAGTGTTATGGAAAATGAACTGGAAAACACTTTCCAGTGTTTGGTTATGTCATGGAAAATGAACTGGAAAATAATTTATTAATATTTTATTTTTCTCAAGTTTATTAAAATAATAAGGAATAAATCTTACAAATTAAAAGGTTGAATAATAATGAAATTGAAAAAAAAAATTCATAAATTATTTCAAATAAAATAAATAATAATCAAAATAATAAAGATCAAATCTAAAAAAAAGATGAAGAAATTAAAATAATAATAATTAACATTTCATAAAGTATTTCAAATAAAATAAATAATAATCAAAAGAACGAGAACCAAATTTGATAGAAAAAAATTTCAATAAAAAACTAATAGGAGAAAAGCAAATAACAATTATAAAAATAAGGACCAAAGTAAATATAAAAATTAAATTTTAAGAAATGAAATTGAAAAATAAATATTCAAAACAAAATATATATAGCAATCAAAAGTTTGAGGATCAAATTTGATATAATCAGCAAATAATGACATTTCTAAACTTTTCACAACTTCCGGAAAGTGTTTTCCTCCCAAATTTTTCAGGAAAATATTTTCCTGAAAATCAAGGCAAATTTTTCTTTAACTGGAAAGTGTTTTCCTTTTATCAACTTTTTATCAACTTTCCTAATAGCAAACAAACACAAGAAAGTAATTTCTCAGAAATCACTTTCTGCAAAACAAACACAAGAAAGTTTGGAAAGTGTTTTCTCGAAAACCACTTTCCGGAAAACAAACACAGCTAAAAAGAAAAACACTTTCCTGAAAATTAAGCAAAAAATTTTTTTGACTAAAAAATATTTTCGTTGACCAGAAAGTGTTTTCCGTTGACCGGAAAGTGTTTTCTATTGACTGGAAAGTGTTTTTTGTTGACCGAAAAATATTTTCTGTTAACCAACTTTCCTAATGACAAACAAACACAGGAAAGTTTAGAAAGTAGTTTTTTGAAAACTGTTTTCCAGAAAACAAATATAGCCTGTCTTTATCTTCGCCTCACTACTACTGTATCGAATCAATTATATTAATTAGTTCCTGTAATTTATCAAAATGAATTAATTACTCCCTTTAGTATGAAAAATAATTTAATAATCCTTTGTCCAGAGCTGATTTTGGGGGGTGAATTATACATTAAAGGGTATAATTAAATAATATACATAATAGAGGGACTCATCAAAATCAAAATCTCCATTGACAAAGGACCTCATGCTTTTTAGGTGGTGAGAAGATAAACATCACGTGTTAACGTGTCTTGCTCCAGATCTTTCTACAAGCTTCTTGTTTTCCTGTGGGCACACCACACCGTTGTTTCCCTTATAAGCTTCATCACTTGAGTCTTGCAAATATCTCATACTATTCACAAAGAAATCTAAGTCTCCTCTCTCTCTTTCTCCAAATCTAACTATCAGTAGCAGTTCGTTATGGCCTCCGAGAATGAATTTCCTGCCGAGTTATCTTCTGTGTTTGAGAGGCTTTTAAGGCACAGGGACCTCTCTTTGTTGTTACCTTTTATTTTAGGGTTCACCTCCACCAACACCACAGAGCAACGTGACCCAGATCAAGAAGCACCACAAACAACAGACACAAATGAAAGAATCATCCTTATAAACCCTTTCACTCAAGGCATGGTGGTGATTAGTGGAGCCGCAAGTCTTGAATCTTTACTTAGAGACAGAGGTAACAAGAATGGCCCACCACCAGCATCCAAAGCATCCATAGAGGCCATGCCAAAAGTGGAGATAGGGGAAGATAATAAAGTTGGTGAGTGTGCTATCTGTTTAGAGGAGTGGGAGCTTGGTGGCGTGGTAAAGGAGATGCCTTGTAAGCATAGGTTTCACGGTGGTTGTGTAGAGAAGTGGTTAAAGATTCATGGGAATTGCCCTGTTTGTAGATACAAGATGCCTGTTGACGAGGAGGAATTGGGGAAGAAAAGAGATGAGGGAGATGGAGGGAGAGAGAGGAGAGTTGAAAGAGAGATTTGGGTTAGTTTTGCTTTAAATGGTAGCAGGAGAAATGGGGATTCAAATGAAAACCCTTCAAGTGATTCTTCTACGGAGGACCAAGAGAGATTATTGTAAGATTGCCCTCCCCCCCCCCGAACATATCAGTAATACTATTTTATGTTTTCAATTAAATAATGTTAATAATGAAAATTTGTTTCAATTGTTGCAGCTGTGTTTGAGCATTTAACTTTTCAAAACGTGCCGTGATTAAATATTTGGATAACTAAATCATTCTAGTTCATGCTGTATAAAGAATCTGCTTTGAATAGTAAAGAAGGCAGGGGTAGTTACGAATGGCTATTTGAATTGATTCCAATGAAATTTAGGAGCTTAGATTGAGAAATTAGAAGTTAAGCTAGGGCATGCGCTGGACTTCAATGGACAGTGCCATCATTTCAAAGATTGATTGTAACAACTGTAATTCCAGTTAGTTATTAGGTGCTGATACATTATGCTAATTTGAGAATTTTCAATGATGTCTTGTTGGCTATAGAGTACAGAGGCCTTTTCCCTGCACCTGAGAATCTTGATCCCTTGACACCCGCCTAACATTTAAAGGGGGTAGCCATTGGATATGTGCCTGGCGATTCCAAGAAAGTGGAATCATCATGAAAGTGATGAAAGTCCTCGCGTTCATCATGCCGGACTTTTCCAGGTTGTCAGACTGCGGTTCAAACTGTCTTCCAACTTCAGTCTTTACCACATTCATCAGTCTTTTTCCTCAGTTTGATAGTTGTATTGCAGTAAGTTTGCCTAGGGTCTTCGGATTTCAATTCTAGCCTCCCTTTCGATTCTGAAAAATGCAAGCTTGAGCAACGTTGGCGTGATCATTGCATTGAAGCTTAGTGGTAGGATTAATCCCTGAGCAATGTATAGTGAATTTGAAGTCTTGCTACACCCCAACTTAGGGTATCTAGTAACTGATAATGTAGTTTGGCGTCTACCAAAAATGAAAACGGCAGGCTTGTCTTTCATCTCTTGTAGAGGGTGGCCATTGGGATTTTATATCCATCTACGACTCTCAATCTCTTTATCCCATATACTCTATGGTCAATGTCAACAACTTATCCAACAATGCAACCACCATGGTAATGATAGAAAGTCCTTAAAATTCCTTTTCCAGAACTTTCTCAGTTTCTCAGTATGCGAGGAGACATCAAACTATAGTGCCATTTAGTCCCCAGGAACCCAGCAATGGATTTGGACCTTGCTAGTTTCTCAACCAGCTGAGCCATCTGGCTACACTCCTACAAGTCTTTGTCCTTCTCTAGATAGTTAAATTTTTCCTAGGGTCAGTGCTGTTCAACTCCAGCTTTCCCTTTTGATTCTGGAAATGCAAAGCTTGTTGGCAGGATTGCTACTTCAGAAGGTGCGATGTTAAGGGGATGTAAAGTTGTCTGGTTCGAGATTTCTTAATTTCCAAGAAGTTGAAGGGGAAGGCCAACATGATTAACCCAATTCAGCAACCCCTCTTCTTGGCCAAGAAGGCATGGATCGGCGTCATGTTTTTGGATGCATATTAACCGATATTTTTTAAATTTAATTAGAAGGTAAATTATGATTATAATTAATGGGGGATTTCTGATCTGGTGTGGTCAAGAACACGGGTTAAAGGTGGAAATAGCCCAAGGACAGGGTAATTGAGGGTATTCATTCAATTTTTTTGAGATCCAAGCTGGGTAGATATATCATGTTAGTCTAATTTATTTATTTATTTTTCCCTGATCTTAAACTTCAGTGGTGGGGGCTTCTCTGAACTTCCATATCTGCTCATGTTTGCAGTTCATAACTGTACTACTACCCTTTTGCACTAGTTCTATCACCTGTTTTATATTATTGTTTGAAAACGTGGTTTAACGTATATTTTAAAAAAAATTAATTTTTTTTATTAAAAATTAATATAATTTATATGTTTTGGATTATTTTGATGTATTGATGTTAAAAATAATTTTTAAAAAATAAAAAAATATCATTAATATATATTTAAATATAAAAAATTATTTAAAAAGCAGCCATTGTTGCATTGTCAAAAACACTGGTCGGCAATTTTTCTGCCTCCCCTTGGTATAATGTATCTTCCAATATAATGTCGGTCATAGTTATAATAATTCTTTTACTCATTATGTTGTTGGTGTTTAGGGATTTAAAGATGAATAAACGACTTTGAAATGAGAAATAAATATTCCGTGTCTTTAAAATGATTTTCTGCTCTCATTGCAAATGGAGTTTACTGGAGGATTCAAGGCTAATATATATATATATATATAACAGTGACATGCATCTCAGATCAAAATCATAGTAATGATTTGTTCAAGTATAGATGTTGATAAGAAACTCTTGTCATGGCATTTAAACGAGATATGGTTCGTTAGGTCTTAATTAGCTAAGGGGCCAGACTATTTTTTTACATAAAAAATAATGTTCAGCCGTTGCAAGCGTTTTGCAGCCGTGAAATTTCCATCTCGCGTCGAGGTTGGATGAGAAGAGAATTAAAAACAGTAGCAATGGTCAAAAGAAAAGAAAAGAAGAAAGATCGCTGCTTTGATTTTCATTTCTCTTTTATTTCTCTCATATGCTTTTCTGTTTTGTGAGATTGCAGAAAAGGATGTGGACAACTTTTTAAAAATCCGACATCAATTTTCAACACAAACAAATTCGTTAGTTGTCGAACAATCCACATGAATATTGTTACAGAAAATAAGCAGCACCAAGTTTAAATTTAAAGGGCTCTGATAGCGTTCTCACCTTTTGCCACAGGAGGTGTAGAATTATTAATTGGAGTATCCAGACAACAAAGGCATTTCAACAGGAAAATCCATTTTGTGAGTGGCGTGCCCTGCAAAGCAACGGACAGGCTCAAATTTAAAATTTGATGATTTTGCAGCTATAGTGATTGCTTGCTCTGATATTTTTCATATGCGCTTTTCTGAAATTGAAGACTTCGCAGGGAACAAGCAATTTAAGCATTCTGTCACTTCTCGCTCTGTCAATTTAAGATTTCGCAGCTAATTGGTTGATTGATACTGCTGCAGAATGTTGTGCTTAACTCTTAAGTCACGAAGATGTGAAAAGCGATTTAATAGGTAAACTATTCTTTGGTTGGTCAGTAAGTTAAACTCAAGAAAAAATATTTAGTTCTAGAGTGTAATTGGGAACTCTCTGACCATTGTGGAGAGCAGAATAAGATGAGTCATGCAATGTAAGTAAGGACAATAACCATAAAACGGTGAATTATTTCCTTCGACTGAACTTCCCAGCAAATTGTCTAAAATCTATAGAAATGATACATATAGCTGAAGTTGGGAGTTCGTTAATTACGGGTGTTGTTGGTTACCAAATGCAGAAGCATCCTCCCTTTCCCTGAGAATCTTGATCCCTTGGTACCTCCCTAGCATTAAAAGCGTGGCCATGGGGTTTGTTCCTGGCGATTCGGAGAGTGTTGAGCCATCTATTACTCTCAATCCCTTCACTCCAATTACTTTATAGTCATTATCGATAACTGATCCTATAGAACAACCACCGTGAAAGTGATAATAAGTCCTCACGTTCTTCCTGCAGAAGTTTCTTAGCTCATTGGGATTGGATGTCACATTAATTAGGGGTTTGGCTCCCAGGAACCGAGCAATGGACCTGGACCTTGCTACTTTCTTAACCAGTTGAACCATCTGGACACATTCTCTCAAGTCTTTTTCCTCTGCTAGATAGTTGAACAGCACCACAGGGTTCTGCCTAGGGTCTGTGCTGTTCAATTCGAGCTTCCCTTTCGATTCTGGAAATGCCAACTTAATTGAAATTCGCATAAGTGTCGTTGCATTGAAGCTTACTGGGAGCACAAATCCCTCAACAACGAATTTGAAGTCTTTTGCTATGCCAACAACTTGAGGCGATTCTGGTAGCCGATATTCAGGTTTGGCCCTTGGGATCAAGATGATTCCAGGATTGTCTTGCATATCTTGTCCAACCCCTTTCAAGTCCAGAAAAAGTGGGATGCTGAAGTTCCCAAGATGTTCTTTTGGTCCGATGCCGCTTAGCAATAGAATTTGGGGACTGCCTATCGCTCCTGCCGACAAAATAACATCACCCTGTGGACTCGAATTCTCTGGTTGGGTAAGGTAAGATTCGTAAGTTTGATTTATGCTGCCGTTGCTCTTAATGAATCTGATACCACGAACTATGCTCTTTTTTCCTTTATCTGTGCCATAGAAATAGAACAAACAGGCATCAAGAGACTGATTATCCATGCAACATTAATTGGAACTCAATGAAATTTCACTCTCATGTATAAAGATTGTTGGGAGTTGGAACAGTATCTGTATTTTCATTTGCTTACCATCCCTTCGGAAGACGATATTCTTCACAGTAGCATTCAGAAGAACTACGATATTACTTGAGTTCCCTCTTTCTAGAAGATCAGCTGAGATGTGCCTCTTTCTGTTTGCATCAAACACAGTTCCACCGATTTTTGTTCCCGCAATATGATCCCAGCTGAAACCATTATAAGGTAGAATTCCTGCTTCAAGAAGGCCAGACTTAACAGCAGAATTCCACTTGGTTAACAGAGGTTTAAACACAACTTTAGACTCCACCCACTCGTAGGCCTCCTTCACCAGCTTTTCATCCCACCCAACTCTTTTAATAAAGTCAGCACTGGCTCTGCTATAGAAACCAGCATTTATGGTTGACGTTCCTCCAAGGATTCGTCCTCTTAGGTTTGGAACTCCATCTCTAGAGATAAATCTTTGAGCCACAGATGAAAATTCGTCAGTTTGGAGAAATGGGAAGCCAAAGTACTTCTTATCCAACAACATAGGATTTTCATACGGTGAGCCTCCTCGTTCTATCAGAAGCACAGAAAATTTTTCTGAAAGAGTTGCAGCTAGGGGGCATCCGGCGGTGCCTCCCCCCACAATTATATAATCAAAGGACTTTCCTAATACCTCTTTGACGTTTGAAGTCATGTAAGGGAGCCTGTTTCCTATAATGAGGGAAGCACATCATTGAAGCTATTAGGATGGTTTCTAATTGAAAAGATGCCATGGTAGCCAAAAATCATACCTTGAGGCAAAGAAGAAGACGGAAACAAGTTGATCAGTAGAAAAATAAAAGCTGCTACAAGCCCATGGCCATGAATAATTGATAGAAGCTCCATCTCTGGTATTTTGATTTCCCACTCCATAGGGACTTCTTAAGCTGACAAAACGTCTTCAACTATCCAATATAGGCTGTTTAATGACCGAGTTTGGCATCATTGTTACGTTGGTCCGGGTGACGGCAGCAGGCATGATTTAGCCCTTGATTGTGCCGACCGACTTCTTTTTCCTCTGCATCTTGGATGATCACGGATGTATACATATCGTAATGGTGTATGGGACTGTTTTATTTTATTGTGGCAGCGGTCACAGGGAAGACTTAATGTTTGAGCGATGTTTTTATTTTCTTGCTCATTCATTATTTAATTTGTAATTTCTTTTAATATTCTCTAATTCGTTCCTATTTTCAACATAAATTTGTTAGTTGTTGAACATTTCCCATGAAGTTGTCTGAAGCCTCTTCGGCATCCGAAGTCACGCATGACACAACGGCGGCATTTTTTCCGAGTAAACTAATATTTAGGTTATTAAAAGATACGAAAATACAGGGGTTAATATATTATTTTTTTAAACTAGAGAGACTAAAATAGAGGTTAATATAGACTCGGAGTTTTGGCTTCTATTTCACAATAATAATCCATATGGTTTTGCTTAATATCTAAGAAGTGAAGGTGGTTGGTGGTTAAAATATATTATCCGCTGGGTGGTGGTGGGTCTCACCTGCACTTTCGAGTTTAGATGCCTTCTCGATCAATTTTGTAGATGTTGCCGGTGATGCGAGCCGCCTCCAACCATTGATAGCTTCATCTTGAAATTGCGAGACAAGTCGGTCGCACGGGGTGGGTAGGGGCGGAGGGCTCCATTTCAGGTTTAGTGGAATATTATGGTTAAGAGTTAAGGACTTACACGCAGACAAGGCAACGAATGTTTAAGAACGAAATGATATTTTATTTTTATTTTTCTTCAAAAAATAGGGTAAAAAAACGAAAACAGGAATAATTTTTTTTAATAGATTGCAGAAAAACTAAATTTATTCTGGGTTTGAGAAACACTTTTTAAAGAATTTTCACCATTTTTCTTTGCAAGTTATCCACTATTTCTTAAATGAAGAAAATACATGAATAATATATTTTCTTATACACAAGTACTTTTTTATAAATAATAAAATAAAATTAATATTCTATAATTAGACTATCACGAGTATAAAACATTAAGATGATTATCATAAATTCTGGTTTCGATTTTTATAATTAATACTTGAATTTTGATTTTTTTTGCAAAAATTCTCATTCTCAATAAAAAAACATTTTTTTTCAGTTTTTCATTGAGAAAGAAAAAAATAATAGGAAAAAAAACCAAAATGAAAAAAAAAAACCTAGTTTTTCTTGCTAATGAACAGACTCATAATTTTTATGTTAAATGAAGTACTCTTTTTTTCATCCAAAAATGCACCTTAGGCACCTTTCACCATTTTTAAACAAATGAGAGACACAGGTTTGATGTTTTGTCTGTGCTTGATTGTTGCAAGGAAGCCATGGTGGGTGAAGGTGAATTGCGAACCCACATATATACATTTTATTGATTTGTGGTTTTATTTGATTTTAACAAAAAAGAAAAATAAAAATGGTTTTAAAATTCTCAAAAATAAATATCTAGTTTTTTTTAAAACCACAACATTCAATTTAAGTAACTCAACTAGCAAGAATATGAACATCGTAAACCCACAATCATGGCAATGGATTCAAGCCTGAATAAACAATCCATGGATTGTATCGTCGCAGCATGCTAAGGACCCAAGTCTCATTCCGTGCAAATGGGCTGCAGTCCCTTTCTCCGGCTTGGCCGCATACCCTCTGCTGGCGGACCTATGTAATGTAACTTAACCCCAAAGGGCCGGAATGGTGGTTTAAAAAGGAAAATTATTGCATTTAATGGATGATTTTAACGCAATTGTGCATGAGCAATTACATACACACCAAGTTACAAACGAACATGCAGTTCCAAAATGTTGAAGAATCTAAGAAATTGTAGTGTGAGTTAACATGATTGCGAGTTTGGATGTGGTCAAATGGAAAATCTACTTCCTGGATTCAAATTTTTACATGGAATCGATTCCAGAAACTGTATTTCTCAGAAAAAGAAAAGGAAAGAATAACAATTTTTCTATGCTTAAATATATTGTTGAAGTTGAGAGTTTCCTACAGTTGTGGTGGGCTAAGACTTAACAGAAGTGTTCTGCCTTTCCCTGACAATCTTGATCCCTTGATACCTTCCTAGCATTAAGACGGTGGCCATTGGATTTGTGCCTGGTGATTCCAAGAATGTAGAGCCATCTATTACTCTCAACCCCTTTATCCCATGTACTTTATAATCATCGTCCACGACTGAGCCAACAGTGGAACCACCATGATAGTGATAATAAGTCCTGACATTTTTCTTGCAGAAATTTCTCAGCTCGTCCTGACTAGACATCAAATTATTTTGTGGTTCCTTACCTAGGAACAGAACAACAGATCGGGACCTCGCTATTTTATTGAGTAATTGAACCATCTTGGTACATTCCTCTAGATCTTTCTCCTTTTCTAGATAGTGGAATTCCACTGCTGGATTTTGCCTAGGGTCTGTGCTTTTCAATTCCAGCGTCCCTTTAGATTCTGGAAATGCAAGCTTGATTGCAATTGGCATCCTTGTTGCATTGAAGCTTATTGGTACTATGCCCCCCTCAACAATGAATTTCATGTCTTTTGTTATGCCCGCAACTTGAGGTGCATCTGGAAATCGGTATGTTGGTTTGGTGTCCGCCAAAAGAGCAATGCCAGGGTTGTCTTTCATCTCTTTCCCAACCCCTTTTAAGTTCAACACAAGCGGGATACCGAATTTCCTTAGATGTTTTTCGGGACCAATGCCACTTAACAATAGGATTTGAGGACTTCCTAGTGCTCCTGCTGACAAAATAACATCACCCCATGAACTTGAATTCTCTGGTTGATTCAGGTAAGCTTCATACGTTTGGCTTGTGCTGCCATCACTCTTGATGAACCTGACACCATGGACCATGCTCTCGTTTCCCTTACCTGCACCAATTCAAGGGAACTTAAGCTTCAATATATTGACTATCCGAGAAAGTTCGGCATAGGATCATTGAAAATCTGTTTTTAGTAACCTACTGTTGTTAGCTCTTTTAAACATTATCTACAGATATGTTTGCTTACCATTGACATGGAAGACGATGTTCTTGACAGTTGCATTCAGAAGAACAATGATGTTTTTTGGATTCCCTGTCTCAAGAAGATCTGCTGGGGTGTGCCTTATTCCATATTCATCAAACAAAGTACCACCAATCTTTGTTCCCTCTATATGTTCCATGCTGAATCCATTATAAGGTAAAATTCCTGCTTCAAGAAGACCTAATTCTACAACAGACTGCCATATGGTCAGCTCAGGCTTAAAAACAATGTTAGACTCTACCCATTCATAAGCTTCCTTCACTAGCTCTTCATCCCACCCAACTGTTTTAACAAAATCATCACTAGCTCTGCTATAGAACCCACCATTTATAGCTGATGATCCTCCCAGAACTCGTCCTCTGTGGTTCTCAATTCCATCTTTCGATACGAAGCTTTGTGCCACCGATGAAAATTCATCAGGCTGGATCAACGGGAAACCATAGTACATCTTGTCTGATACCAAGGGATTTCCATAAGGCGAGCCTCCCCGTTCTATCACGAGCACGGAGAATCTCTCGGAAAGAGTTGCCGCCAGGGGGCAACCAGCTGTTCCTCCCCCCACAACAATGTAATCAAAGTACTTACCTGAGACCTCTTCGACATCTGATGTCAAGTAGGGAAGGTTTTTTCCTACAATGAACAAAGGAAATCGAAGATATTAGAATGAATTTTTAGGCTTCTAAATGGAAGCTGTCATAACTTCAAGAATCTGTTCGTTACGTAGCTTACCTTGTGTCGATGGGAAAGAATGGGACAACTTAACAAGTACTAGAAATAGAAAAGCTGTGACAAGAACGTATCTGTAAATAATGTGCGTTAGCTCCATCCTCGTTCTTCCAGTTTCCATTCCCCAAGGCTTGCTTAAGAAGGAGGAGAAATGTTAGCAGCATTTAGTGACTTGTGTGGTTCGTTTAATGATTGAGTTTTCAGGCGTAGCAAATTAATTGGTTGAAGTTCCTTGAACGTTAATATAGTTAAGCTTACGCATGGCTTGGCTAATGATTCATCCTTCGTTGGATGTTTAATGATTTTGCAGCAATAATGATTTCTTCCTTTTGGCTGTTCTTATTTTTCTATTGTTTTACACATGCCTTTTTTTGGTCCAGAAGCCGTTGAGCAATGATATTATTCCCTTCTAGCTTTCTAGCCAATTTTAGTTAGTGGAAGTCCCAAGTAATCCCGGAGCGATTCTAAAGTAGCGTTGTTTAGTCAAAACTGATTGAAAAGTTTTGGATTTGGGTCAAATCTTTTGATGGATTTTCACTGAAATTGGAGTTATAAGTCATAGAAGTTGAATTCAGCCCGTGATATCCATTAAGTGAACTGCCAAGTTTCCGTGTAAGAATTTAGCTGAAGTTGGTAAGTGGATTCACTCCCACACCATCATTTTGCGTTCAAATTTAAAGAGGATCACAAACCTCCAAATGTAGAAGGTTTTCCTAGAAACAAATCAAGAAAGAACTTAATCTTAGAACTCCAAATATAGCTAGGGATGCCCTAATTGTTAAAACCTAAAAATACATAGACTGTCTTGGAAAAACTTCCAAGAGATGAACTTACACGCACAATATATATAACACCATCTTTTGAAATGGATATACTTTCAGAAGTTTCTTGGGGTCCATACATATACCAATATACATAGTTTATAAACAAAGATTAACTCTATTAAGTAACTTTCCTGCATAGACTATATCAGTAGAACCCTTCAAGTATCCTCAAACTCCAAAGGTACCCAGTTGAGTTGTTCAGTTCCCTAACAGTTCAAGTCTATTGATTCCGAACCTGATTCAATGTCGTGTTGGTATTAGCTATTCAAATCAAACATCCCCAGACTCAACCGATCACCATTTTTCAATCTACTAGCCAGTGGCTGCTCCACAGAAACACCATCAGAAATGATACTACCACTTCTCTTCTTCCCTTGATTACTTGAACAAGTATTCAATGGGTTGTCTTGCGGGTGAATATCCATTAAAGGAAGCTCAACAGAGGCTGTATTGGACTTGTCGGTGTCATGAATCTCATTCTTTTGTTGCATGTCTTCCTTTCTCCCAGAACTCTCAGATGATGTCAAGGAGCTTTCCATTGAACAAACTGCACTCCTCATTTGTGTCCTCTCCATGTCTCTTAAGCTTGAACCTCCTGTTTCTGTCAAATCAGATATTGAAGAACTTGGACATCCACTATTAGCCATTGAGACTAATCGAGAGAGCTCAGATTTTGCAAGTTCTACACCCATAGAATAAGAATTATATCCAGCCAGTGTTTCCTGTGCTTTCTTCAATACTGACTGTAAGTATTTCCCTTGCGCTTCAATTCTCAGCTGCAAATGTCTCTGTACCTGCAATAAAAATTTAAAGTGGATACGTATGTTCTGATCAATAGACAGAGAAAGATTTAAAGAAAGGGGTTGATTTCTTGGTCTTACCTCAATCTGTTCATGAAGTTTCCTCTTCACTTCCATTTGCATTTGGAGAGCCTGAGCAATCTGAAAGCTTCTGTTGAACATAACACTTTGGGTAAATTAAATTATAAAAAAAATCTGTATTATTATATCAATACAATTTATATCATAAAGCAGGTAGAGATTATGTCAACTATTACCCATTAATTGGATGTTGGTTTCCATCACTGCAGATTCCCCCGCTACTTTGAATGAATGCAGACTCTTGGAAATGATCATCACTACCTTGAATCTCCTTGGCATCGGCAACAAAGAGAACTACATAGAGACAACGCCCCATTAGAATATAAATGAGAAAACCAATCACGCAGTAGTTCATTAATCTGATTCATTATGATTTATAGTCACCTTCTTGGTTGTTTTCACTGCTGATGAGGGACTGTTGACTCTTCCCTAGCCTGTATTTCTGCATCAAGAAGCAAACACAAAATCACAATCTTGTTTTTCTGCATTGGTAAAAGCAACATAGATTGATCTAATCATTCTGAAGAGAATTGCCTGTAAATGGCTCTTCAAGTGGTATAAAGTAAGTCCAGGAATCTCCATCACCCTCATCAGACTCTTCGGTGTTGCCCCTGCACATATATAATCATAGAAAAGATTAGAAAACCTTGACCCCAGTACAAAAGATTGATAAGTAAGGTCATTGAGGTCTAGAAATACTTACTATCTGCACCTCCAAGTTGATCGACTGCTTCAACAAACCTTTGATGAAGTTCTTGAGTCCATTTTAGCCTAGGCTTTCCATCAGTGGACAAAACCAAGTTCATATTTTGATGGCGCAGACCCATTTCTGTTTTGTGGATGATAGACAAGTAGAAGACTGAAACATAAATATGAGTTATGATCCTTTTCAGCTATGCTTGAAAATGTGGCAGCTATATAATTTTGGAGTTGTTGGGCTGTCCTATGTTCTCACTCCATATCAGGAAACATAAGTGGGGTTATTTTGGAAGGGAATATATGCTATGAGCTGTGGCTCTTCCTTTCTCCCACCTCCCATTTCATACTAACTTTTATTTTTTCAAATTGTTTTTCTTCTTTCTTCTTTGACTTGAAAGGGGAGAGGGAGAGAATCTCTTATGCAGCAAAAACAGAGAAAGCAACCCTCTTCAATTTGAGCCTCTCAAAAGGAGAGAAAGAAGAAAAGTGTATGGTTTGTTTTCTTCCTGTTTTCCCACCTCCCCCCTCCATCTCCCTCACTCTCTCTGATTGATTCCCTGCTGAGTTAGGCAGCCCCCACCATAATGAATAATGGGAGCAACTTTCCTAACACTCTCAGAAGCTTTGAAGAAAAATAAATATGTCGATGGGAATTTGTAATAATGGATGCTTCTTTTTGGTGACTGAATGGGAGACCCAAACGGGCCGGTCGTTCTTTCTCTCTTTCAATTTTACTCTCTTTTCCAGTTTTCCTATTTTCTTTTTCGAGCAGGCTGTTGTGTGATTGGTAGATCCTTTCTGTTCTTTGTAGGGTTGGAGGAATCAAAGAATCTAACCTTAGATTTTAGGACCCAAACTTACCTCGTTTTCCAATAAACAAGTTCACTTGGAAAAGTGAATCAAATCTCCCATATTTTTTTAAAAAATTGAAGATCAGATAAACTACACACATATAATCACCCCGTAGTACAATTTCTTCCAAATGGGGGGGGGGGGGGAACGAACCAAAAAGAGACGCAGATGTGCAAGATTACCTGCTTAAAGTTACAGAGGGGAATCTTTGGCTCCGAGTTTTATATATACACGGCTAATGGCACAAGATGTGCCATCATTCATCATCGAAACCAACCTTTTTTAAGTATATTCAAGCCAACCAATCTCGGTTCCGCTTCCACCAGAGTTATCCAAAGGAATCTGATAAAAATCAAGAAAGCATCTGGTGAATTGAGTTTTCGTGTGCATTAATTCATCCCTTCTTCGTTTCTTTCCACATCCAACCTTGTCCTTCCTTATTAATGAATAGGAGCGTACCATTTTAATTTTTTTATTAAAAAAAGGGAACAGTAAGAAAGAAAAGTGAAGTTGCCTCTCATGTTGTTGATGTGTTAAAAGTAAACAAGAAGCTAAACCAACAATCCTAAGTACCAAGCAACGTAACTAACAACATCTGAAACCAATCCAGCATCTCATGGTGGTTGCGATGCAAAAGCAACACAACCAACCATCCAGTGGTACTTGTTGACATGAAGCAACAAGATTGACTTTGCTCCTTATCTCTCTTTCTTTCCGAGTGTATGCGAGTACCGTGGAAGTCACAGACGCATAGGCAGAATGAATTGACAGAAAGGTCCACATATTTATGGCAGCAGTACCCTTCTATAATATGAAAACTATCCACTGGACAGGACCGCTCAGCGTAAAAGCCTCTTACTGAGAAATAAAGAAATATATTCCAAAGGGAATGTTAGCTTTAAGTCTGTAGTCCATATCCATGCTGAAACTGGGAAAAGGAATTTTCACCCAGGAAAGAGAAGGGAAAAGAAAAGGGAAAGCCAAAATGGCCAGCAACAAATCGTAAAAGTCGATTGAATCAGATCAATCTTTGGATTTCTTGGGTTGCAGTTTAGAGATTTTATAGCTGGAATCAAGATCCAATGATGATCATTGATCTCCAAAGAACTGCCATATGATTAGTGGCATCCAATCAGTTGTTCTTGCTGCATTAATCACTTTCCCGGGATTCAAAGGTGAGGAAGGTTAGATACTAAAGCAATTCTTTAATTAAGCAATTACAATAGCAACATTAGTTCAGTAAGAACAAGACAACTATGCTATACGGCATGTCTTCTACTCTCTCTCTCTCTCTCTCTCTTATATATAAGAGAGAGAGAGAGAGAGAGAGTAGAAGACATGCCGTATAGCATAGTTGTCTTGTTCTTACTGAAGAATATTTCAATCAGTTGACTCAGCTTGCCATTTTTTATCAACAGCCATTTGGACACCTTATAGGAAGGAAAAAGTTCAGCGATTGTGTTGTTATTGCCAACACATTCCATTAGATAAAAATAAAAATAAAAAACTTTTAACAAAAAAAAAAAAAAACCTATGCGGTGGATCCATTGCAGGGGTAGGCCCATTCTAACGGCAAGTTCTTCCTAAGCAAGCATCTGCTTCTTCCCTAAGACTACATTCATTCTTTAGCAGCAAGTTTCGTAGTTCATATTCAAAGAAAAGAATAAAAATTATTGACAAAGTTTTTGCGATATGCGGCCCGAATGTTTGAAAAACAAGAAAAGAAGGAAGAGTTATTCAAGAACCTTTCTCTTTAACCAGCTGCTGTACTTGAAGGCTCCTCTTGCTTTAATTTATTCTATAAAATGTAAAGGAGATTCTGGGATGATGCCGAAGGGGCCATGTGTTTTTTTTAGGTCTGTAGGAGAAGGACCGGTGTATCAAAAGTCATTTAAGCAAAGGTGCCTCCCATGGATTATTATTCTTTAAAGGGACCCATAAGAGAGGAGA